CTTGTGTATCTTCAGTAGTCTGTGGGCTGTCGGTGGTCTTCCGTCATTTATGATTAAATTTTAATTATCCATCTGTTAATTTCCCCATTATACTTGTTTACCAACTCACAGACGTTGTGGTTCAACAGTGAACCTAATCAAAGCAAGCAGTTCCACGACATTTGTGGGTTGTCATACAAGAGACTAAGGCATAGTAATTTATAGACTTGGTATTACGGATAGAAACAGGATAGACGCATCGGAGACTAGATCTATTTGGCTGACAGTACGTCTGTTGTTCCATAGACGTGGTCCATTTAGCAAAGCCTTGTATTAGTCACTCAGACTCAGAGGAGGCGAATATCGCCTCGAGTAGCACAGATGGGATAGCAAGAGTTGAGTGAAATACGTGAACCACGTATATAGCAGACGTATCTTAAGGGGCAACAGAGAGATTGTTATAAGACGTAGGGGAGGAGGGGTGCGTAACGATATGGCAGACTCTGTTCAACATTCCCAGCACAAGGGAGAAGGGGGTGAATGCCACTCATAGAAGCACAGCACTACCTCTTAATAAGCACGATAACAATTGTACTAGTGAAGGCGTGATAGGTGTATATAGGAAATGTAAATAGTTCAAGGCAAAAGGAGAGATACCACAACTATTTAGCACACGTTTGGTCTTTTAACGAGTTTTTGTGCGGTGCTAAGAATGGCGAGACTCACTAACGATACCGACTACGATGCCGGCGAAATGTCTGGGAATGTGCAACATCTACGATCCGACTTTCGAAATGCTCTTGCATACAATCGACTCCGGACTAGGTGCGTTCCTTGAAGTCTTTCTACCAATATGACCAGGTTTCGAAAATAAGGTCAAGCAACCTTTAATATTCGTAAGTTTGTCTCACCGTTTTTCAAAGGAGATTTGACTGGGAGCTGTGACTAGATTTGTGCTATTAGGTCCTCAGCTCACCTTCCGCAACACGAATGAATTCTAGCAAATCTTTCATCCTTGAGTTAACAAACATTGTTAGAGTAGGACGCCATGCCTCAACCTACTTTTATAAGCACTAATCTAAGCTTAGCAAAGCTTTATCTGTGTCGCAGGGCTGTGCGATAAGGATCTATTCGCACAAATCTACAGTTACAGCATGCAAACAATCCCCTACAGCTTCCGATGGCACCAACTTATGGATCCTTTCCACAAGCCTCTTAAAATTGAATGAAAGGTACCTTAACATCAATCTGTTAAGATATTATTTGAAAATCAATTTTCATAAAGAAATCCTAAGCTGTCTCTCTGAGTGGAAAACTGAGACTATAAGAAATAAATAGCCTCTAATCGACCACCCATCTCATCTTAAGTACTTGCAAATTTTTATAAAGCGCGATTTAATTCTATGATTACGTTTGTCACATTAAAGATAAAACTCACCACTAATTCATTGTATTCGTATAACGTAGGTACAAATCTATATTTACTATTTCAAAGCGATCCTGCCTTGGTTTTGGTCAGGCAACTCAGTAAATTCCTTTCAGTCATTTTTCCGAAATAACTTGAACAGAGAATACTTAATTTATTAAGGATTCTCGGAAACTCAGTTTATCTTCAGAAGATTTATTGCTTTGCATGCTCAATAGGCATAGTAATAATGAGCATTATAACATTAGATTATACCCTAGAAATCTTATTAAACCTATCCTATTTACTTAAGTGGTAATTTTTAAAAAGGCTAATATTTCTACCTAATTTTTTATTCTTAAAAAGTTTATGTAAGTCAGTTTTAAGGCCGCTTCTTTCATATTGTTAGTCGTTTCGCGTACAGTGCCGTCCCTCCCCGTAGTCTGACTCTGTGGAATGACTACTGATCAGGAGAATGCAATGGTAATTGACTGATTTTTTTTATTTTTCTTAGGTTGAGAAGTCCTTGGAGCAGCTAGAAGAGGAAAAGTTACGCAATAAGTATCCAAATCTGGCAAAACAGAATTCCGCACTTTTACGAAAACGTCTCAACAAAAATGTAATTCCACATTCTATAATAAGTTTTATCAAATAGAGCTCTGTTTTTGCATTTTAATTTAATATCTATCTATAGGTTAAGTATTTTGATTCCGGAGACTACAATATGGCAAAGGCGAGGGTCTGTGGCTCCAAGCCTACCATCATTCCATCTACTTCTCCTTCCAGTGATGTACCTCTCCCTGAAGTTATTTTGCCCACTGCAACAGGTGAAACTATTCCCACTGTAGAAAATGTTCCAGCAATGAGGAAAAAGACCAATACATTTATTTGTCCTGGTTCACTTATGCAACCCCCCGCTTCGCCTACTAGTGGTCTTCACGCGAATCCAGGACTTTTGCATCGTGCAAGCCTTCATGTTAACGGGTTTCCTCGTCACACTCAAATAGTTGCTCGTTCTCAAAGTGTTATTGTCCCGACCTCAGTTGCTAGAACTTTTCATGTGGCCGATAAAGAAATCTCAAACTTTGGAAATGAATCCAAATTAGGAGTTGAACACTGCACGGATATTGGAAGACAGGAGGAAAGTCCAACTAACAAATTCGGAACTTCATGAACTACCATTGTCATTCCAATTCTCACAGCTTAAGGTTATCTGTAAAGGTCTAGGTAAAGCATCAATACGTTTAGGGTTGGAGCTGATCGACGATTTGCTCGTTTTCGTTTATTCATTCCATACTCCAACTTCATTTATTCTTGTGCCAATCCTAAAAGTTGCGCCTCATTTGTTTTGTAAATTGGTATCTCAAGGCTAAATACATACTCTTATAAACATTTTGTGCCTCTACTTTAATATGCTGATTATACAATTGGAATATCTAGCTAAATAAAAAATGTATTGCAAAATA